ACAGTAAACAAATTAAGTCCACAATATAAAAAAATGAATGGAAATACATCATATCCACTGAAAAGTTCATCAGATATGTCACTGTGGTGGGTTGACCCAGGCTGGACACCAGAAGCCCACCAAAGCTTCTCTATCATTCTTCTTCTCAGCTGGACAGGGAAAAGCAAGCATAATAAAAGGCTCATGGATTGAGATACGGACAGGGAGAGATCATTCACCAGTTTCCATCATAGGCAAAACAGATGTGACTTGGGGAAATTAAATCAGTCAAATCAGAGTAGGAATAACAAGAAGGAAAAAAAAATCTTAAATACACCTCCCCAGTTCTACTCATGATTTTCTCCACCTTCTTTATCCAGAGCAGAGCATGACAGGAATGGGGACTGATGTCAGTACATCACACATTGTATCTACCACTCTTTTCACCTCAGGGGGAGGACTCCTCACACTCTTCCCGTGCTCCAGTATGATCCTCCCCAACTTCTCCAAAGTGAGTCTTTCCCATGGACTGAAGTTTGTAATAAACTGGTCCACCATGGGTCCCTTCCACAGGGCACAGACCTTCAGGAACAGACTGCTCCAGTGTGAGTCATGTGTGGGGTCACAGTTCCTGCCAGAAGCCTTTGGGTTTCCCAGCCTCCTTTGAGCATCAACATCTGCTCCAGCATGGGGTCTTCCTCAAGCAGGAGGTGGATATCTGCTCCACCGTGAACCTTCAGGGGCTGCAGGGAGACAGCCTGCTTCACCATGATCTACATCACGTGCTGCAGGGAAGTCCCTGCTGTGGTGTCTGCAGCAGATTTATATATGAAAAAATTATAATTTGGCTAAAATCAGAAATAGATAGTCTAGACAATACTTCAATTTATTATTGAAGATTCTATGTTTCCCTTACATTTTAGGAAAATATAACAGGAAATACTTTTAAATACCCAAGAATACAGTATCAGTAAGAAAGAAGTGAGGTGAGTTATTTTGCTTTAAAAAAAGTAATCATATCATATTTCAAATTCACATGTGATAACAGAGTACTTTAGATGCCCTATTACTTTGTATGAACTTGACAGCGGTAGATCAATTATTAGAACACTACACAAAGATTTTTTTAGAAGTCCACTCTTACCCAGAAAGAACAGAGTTGAAATCTTTGGACTTTTTGTTTTATCATGCTACAAGTTAAGTACATTTGCCCAATAACATTTGAGACACTGTTACACTCTCAAAACACCTTTGCATTAAACATGTAAACAATAAAAATTTTGCATAATGTGTTCCTTGTAAAGAAAATGTGATCTTTATTCAGACTTGTCATAGGTTGAGATTGTCAAACTGCCACAAGACTACATCCATAGTTCTCTGAGTAAAGGCTCTAAGCACATATTTAATGACAACCATTATTTTCTATCACTTTCCAATCTATCCACCAAAAATACATTAGTTAATTCAAAACTTATTAACATTTAAAATTCAATTAATCTAATACCTTTGCTGGTTTTTTTGTTTTGTTTTAGGCTTGTTTGTTTGTTTGTGTTTTTTTGCTATCATAACCAAGCTCTCCAAATATATAGAAAGGAAAATTGTCAACTTGTTTTCCAGCAAGAGCTAATTTAAGCTGGTAATGGGGAACAGAAGATATAGAGGTAATGTCTTCGTCTAGGAAAGTGTGATATATATACCATCCATCCTCACCAGTTCTTATCTGGAGAGGGCTCTAAGCACCTCTTTCAGAGACTGTTCTGGGAAGGAGGTTCTAACACTTCTTCTATACTAATTAACTAGTGTTTTAACAATTGTCTTAATATTTCAGACTGGAGTACATACTCGAATCCAGGTTACCTACGTCAAAGCAGCCTAGAGAATCAATCTAGTTTTCTGCTCAATGATTAGTAAATATTCCACTAAAAGTGACCAACAGCAAAATATGTGAAACATTCCAACCAGAGCATCCTAGAGGCATTGGAAACTCTTACATGTTCAGATATTCTCAGAAGATTTAACTCTGAACTTCTATATGCTGGATATCCCATAATGACATTGCTATTTCTTTCACCAATTAATGTCTCAAACCCCAACTTTTCACTTAGGCAAAAAGGAATATTTCACTAGATCTTATTTAATTTTTGTTGTTGAGAAAAAATGGTGAAAATAATTTCCTCAAACTAATAATTTTCTTTCTGTTTCACTTCCAAAGTTCAAAAAATGCCTTAGTTCAGCTCAAGTTACCAAACATCAGAATAAGCAACAAGACGACAAGAACCCTGAAGGGCATCTACAGAATTTTTTTCCACTACTTCAATGAAAATGGGCTACCAAGATTTTCTTACAGAAAAGACTAGGTATATCTGAAATATTGTAACAACTGACCAGAAGACTATGGAAAATTAACACTTCATAAAGAATTCCAAGTCTTGTCTCATGGATAACTCCAACCTATCTACTTGATGTATATTCTGGCTCATTGTTTTACTTTGAATCAAAAAGTAGGGATATTTTGTTACACAGTAGATGGGCAGAAGAAAAAAAAAATTGAGGTTTTTTTTTTAAATCAATAGGTGTAATAGACACGTAAAGAACCAAAGTTTCTAAGAAATTATTTTATAATAATACTTATTATTCAGATCAACCAAGAAGTTTTTAGTAATTTTTATAAATTATGTACTTTTTTTTTCCAAAATTAAAGAGCCTGGTTTTAGATTAGCGAAAGTCTAAGGGGATATAAAGTTTACCATTCTAAATCTAATTAACAAATTGATGTTAATTAAGCTTTCCAAATCTGTTTTTCCTAACATATGGGGGGGATACTTTCCCATAATTGAACATATCAATCTAATTTAGGGAATATAAATGACAGGCTAAAAAAAGAATATGCTTCCAGTCTGCTTCTCTACATGAGCAATTATTAAATTAGCTCTGTAAATTTTTATGTTTTGTAAACTGATAATGGGAATTTCCATATTTAAAGTAATCTTATTATATCATTTGAATATAGCCAAAGCCTTTTGCAAAACAAGAAATGAAATCATTGTATGAAGCTCGTGACTGAATACATAAAACACATTCAGGAAAAATCAAATGCCTATTTAGCTATTCAAGTGATTAATAATGTCTGTATGTCATTGGTATCCATGGGTAGAATGAGCTCGTTAGCCTTCTGGCAGTCATCCTAGGAGAAGGACAACCCTAATTCCAAACCTGGGCAGATGAAGCTCGCTTAGCCCTGTAAGGCCATCCATCTAAGAGAAGGTCACTCTAATTAAACCTACATCCTGAGGACCTCGCTGCCACCATCCAAGCTCGCTCGGCCCTGCCAGATGAACCTTTAGGATTAAAGGGTGGGTCAATTCCGTGCACACTGTGTCTCACCTAAAAAACCCATTGCGCAGGCTCGAAGGTCTTACCCACATTTGCAAAGCCCTGTAGCGACGGGACCAATGCACTTGTTACAAACGTGGGTAGAGTCCTCCCCAAATCTTCGTTCGCGAAGCCTGACCATGAATGAATGTCATTGGTGATATTTCACTAATTATTACAAATTATTTTTTAAGAATTATTTTAGCTGACAGCTAGTTCAAAAGATTTCAGTTTATGAGCTAGAAAAACTCACTGGCAATTAAGTAATATTCTAATAGAGGTAATTAACTATGTAGGTAGCAGTATGAATTAAATCAAATTGTAAAACACTGTTTACTAAAGCTTAGAATTTGTCTATAGACTTCCACTACACCCTAAAGTAAAAAAAACTATTTTACTTATAAGCATCACTTATAGAAACCAAGACTGATTGCTTTCAAAACAATGCAATTATCTAATTTGGGATATTTTCTTATGATAAAATCAAAAATAATTTTGTTTATTTGGTCTATGCTATGTTTGAAACAGGGTTAATATCGATATTTAAAAAACAAGACTCTACTGAATTTAATGTGTCTAGACAACCACCTGTTGTATCACCTGTTGTTCACACACCTGTCTGTTGTGCAGAACCCCCATAATGCTTTATGAGCCAGTTAAGAGCTTAAGATTCTACTGGAGATCATAACTGCTATTTATGGGTTTGTGTACATCCTCTTTTTTGTGCATCAATAGCATATTTAAACCAATAAAACAAACACAAGGATTTGTCATATTGACATGTTTCTTGAGTAGTGTGGTTCTGTGTTACCACAAAACTACCACACCAGAAAACCAAAGAATGTATGATTTGTTTTTTCTACTTAAGTGAATTTGATCTTGAAACTGGATATCTACTATTTTATTTGTTGGACTTGTTTTACATTACCTACATAATGCATCTACACTAAGATCAAGAACTGGAGTAGTCAGAATAACAAAAATTTTATTATTACTGTTAAGTCAACAAACAAACAAACAGTTATAAATACTCCTTAAAGGTAGTATATTTGGAGTAAAACCAAACCCAAAGAGTACTGTGACTACTCAGCCACAGTTCAGGATGGATATTTCTAGGTAAGTGTATCACCAACCACACTCAGGGCAAATTATTTAGTGCTGTGTACAGTTCTCTGCACAGAAACTCCTCCAGAAAGAATCTGTGACCCACAGGTGTGGCCAGTTCTAAATCCCCCCATCTCTGTGCTGAAAAGGCCACCATGCCATTCACTTTCTGACATTATGAAATTCTCTGTAGGCTTCACCAATCCTTACCAGGGTAACAGTCCATTCCATTCTATTTCTAAATATGTACATTTTAAATATAATAATGGTTAGAACAGTTAGATCTACAATGAGGTGAATGAGTCTACAGTGCCTTTCATCTTGATGCTAAATGGTTGGACTATATTTGGAAATAATTTTACAGCTGAAATTGGAATATCAAAAATTATGCCATGGTAACAATCATTAATGTGGTTTTTTTTGTTTTGTTTCATTTTTTTTTTTTAATCAGCAAGACTACGTATTGACAGAAGGAAAAGTAACAAAAGTTGTACTTCCACATTTCACCATATTTTTTTACATTAAAATTGCAACATTTGACTTACCCTATTGTAGGTGGTTCAGAACCTTCTACTTCCAAATAATCATATTTTTCTTCCATTTGGAAATCTGTAAATATGAGTGAGATAGTATCACCAGGCTCTGCAACAATTGTCCATGTGCAATCTGCATTATTATGATATTCATTAGGAAAGTTGGGGCTCGAGATGATTCCACTGGATCCTCTCATAGTTCCTCCACAAGCATCCTCAGCTGTTAAAAAATCAAATAATTATAAATATCATTAAAATCACTCCTTAAAAATTGATGTTTTTGCTGAGGATAGAATTTTATTGCCTTTTAGGTGAACAATTGCTTAAGATTTTGTAACATGTTTGACTTGGAATGTAGCTGCAAGTTTAAGGTTTTAAAGAAGTAATTGCTTCATATTTCAATTATTTAAGTGAATTCAATTATTATAACACTTTTACCAGCACATATTTTTATAATCTAGTACTTAGTAGTAGATTATAAACCTTGATTAGTATTGTTTCACTCACTTTACAATAGCATGCAAAAATTTCATTATTTCCTCTTTAACCAAAAATGTTTCCACAAAGCAAGTTGCGTTTAATCCCTATCATATGCAGTTTGAAATGTAATGTGCAGCAGTCACATTATACTGAGAAAAGAAACATGAGAATCGTATCCATCTCATGCTAATTATACTGTTATATTTTATTTTAGTGAGTATTCTCCAATAATCTTTTTCCAGTTTTCAAACAGCTGATCAGTTTTCAAAACAAAGCCATTCATGAGTGATTTCTTAATGTCAGATGCAAGACACTTTCGTAAATAAGATGTTTACATCAGAGTCATTTTAATGGGTACAAGCTTTAATAAATCAAATATTTCAAATTTGACCATAGGAATACATTCCTCACAGCATGTGAATAATCACAAAATTATTTTACCAATTATCACAACCAATTATTTTTTTTGTGAGGGTGACTCTTGACACAAGAATGCTCTATTTTTTAGCATACATGATGTGATTTTTGGGAATGGTCCTGGGCAGGGCAGAAGTTGGACTCAATGACACTTTTGGGTCCCTTTCAACTCAGCATATTTTGTGATACAATCTTATACTCAATAAGCTAGGCGAACATTGGATTTATATAATTTATAAAATCAGTTCTAATAGAACTAATTCTGCAAGAAAACAATTCTCAAATGACTGATATTATGTATCTTCTTTATTAATTATGTGTATGCCTAATAACTCAAAAATTGTTTTTGAGGATCTTATGGTAAATTTTTTTCTCTGAGCTAATAAAATTGGTCAGCACTGTAGTGCTATTACTTTCAAAAATGGAAATACCTTTCAAATAACTTACATGGAAATATTGCATTGCTTATTCAGTTTATTAGCCAAATGTTTGAAGCATACTTGAAAAGTAGTTCTTTTTCTGCTTAATTAGAGTGCTAACATGAATAAAACTTGCCCTAGAGTCTGAAAACCCAGTCAATACTGATGAAAAATTAATGATAAAGATAGAAAAAACCCTTTAAGAAGTATAGCATCACAGAAAAAAAACTTTAAAGAATTCTGACACATATAATGGTTCACTTCTAACAGAAAGAAAAAAATTCCTGACTGTAAGAAATCTCTTAATTGCAGCAGTTTAGGAGTTTAAAATACTTGGTTTTGTCTCTAAAAAAATCTGCTAAATTATGCCATGGACAGATAGAAAAGCAAAGTAAAAACATATCTTAGATTTAATCTTACTAATTAGCCAGTGCACTTTGAATCCGCTAAATACAACAAAATTGATAAACATCATCACATCACAGGTTCTGGTCCTTTACTGTGAAAGGAATAAAAAAAAATAAAAATAATAATAACAATAACAGTACTGTTTTCGTGCATTAAGGACATTCAGAAAAATAATTTTAAATTGCCGGTTAACAGCAGTAAAATGTCCATTAAAAGAATGGGTAACATACTTGTTCAACGATTTTGAAGGAACCGTATATTGATTTTTAAATATTGATTGGAATGTTTTATCATGTACTGATTTTAAAAAGTTCTTACAGGTAAAATTTCATAGCTAAATTCTTGAAGCTTGTGCAAACTGGAAAGACAAATAGTTGCATGTGAATAGCTTTTCAGCTCATGTAATAAGTTAAAAGCTGAACATCAGGAGTGTCATGAAAGACTAAACACTTTGGAACAGCTTTCTCAGACTCAAAAATAGAAGTTCTTTTGAAAAATACTGTACTACAGAACTCATCTTTTGTTTTTCAAAACTCAGTTACAGAGTAATCTATCTTAGTTCCTAGTAATATTAAAAATTGCTTACTAACAATGTTGCTATATTCTACCATCTAAAAAATTAGTGTGGCAGCACTAACTTAACCACAAGCAATGTCAATGACCGTGTCAATCTGCTATTTTGAGCCACATCTGAGATTTTTGCCACATCTGAGATTTTTGCTACTAGCAGCAAAATGGCCCAAACAAATCACCATGTGTTTTGTTCCGATTCATGCAGAAAATCTGCTACAAATACAATATTAACTACATTTATATAGCACACTACAGTCAAGTGCACACTAGATATCATCTTAGCCTCTGTAATGCAAGCACTAGACCAATAAACAACAGAATTACTGTGCTGTGGTCCTATTTTCCTCCACTTAGAATATCATTTGCTTGTGATTTAATTGGTTCCAGATCAGATTCCCATAGGTAAAAACTCCCATCTGGGAGAAGGCTTACAAACGTTAATCCCCATGCAACTATTTGGTATCTTAAATTGTGAAGACATTGTAAAAAAAGATTTGCTCTTCAGCTAAATTGTCACACTGTCAATAGCAATTCTACCACTGACTTAATGCATAGTGCACAAGACGTTGACAAATAAAAGAAAATGTAGTAATTGTTTCTGTGGAATCCGCACAGAAGGAGCACCTGTATTTCTATCATGTTGAAATAGCATATATACTTAGATGCCAGCTATGAAATTTTACAAACAAAAAACAAACTGGTGAGGGAACATTTAGGAAGAGAAAGAGTGGCTGATCTCCATCAATGTGCAACAAGCCCAATAAGGATAGGCAAACAAGGAAGAAAGAGAGGAAAGATAATCTTTGCAGTGATTTTGGTACAGAGCCCTGAGAATTGCTTTCCCTGCCTTTCCATAACTTTCTGAATTGACTCTGTCAAACCACCAAGGTAGGAATCCTCAAAGATACTTAAGTGTCTAACCCCCTTTTCCCAAAGGGACAGGCAAACCCATTTGTGGGACTGTCTTTGCCCAAGGACCTGGGTGTACTTGATGGGTAATGCAGGAGGATGGGGAGACCCGGTGTGTGCCTCAAGAAGATTTAACCTTGGGGGGAAAAATCTTGGGGTATTAATATTGGGGGAAAATAATTTATGGTGTAAATTGTATTTTGCAGGAAGTGAAGTATCAGGAATACAAGAACCGATGGAGAGTGAATTTTGTGAGGAGCAAGGAGAGTGCAACAGTGACATCCGCTGGGCTGGTGTTTGTGCCCAACGATAGAGTGTGCTGCTTCTCTTGTCCTGATCACCCATCCTGACAAAATGGAGCCCAAATCATGGCCTGGTTTTGAACATCTGGAGGGGTGGAAGAAGACCATGAAATGGGAAAATAATATCCATATGTGAAAGGACAGGGGACACTAGTTAATGAAAACTTATTAATCTGTATGTTGGGTATAAGGATCCTTTAAGGCTGTAATATACGTTGTATGTGTATGTGTTTTTTTGTTCTCAGACCTAATACACACTAAAATCACTGCAATAAAATGTAGTATGTAACCAGCAGTTAAGTACATAAATGCTTTGAAAGAATTATGTGTGTCCCTGTCCTTTTAACTTCCAGTTATCAAAGTAAAACATTCACAGGAATGGTGAGAAGACAACACTTCAGTTGACTTGATAGAATCCAACATTTTTGCTTCAATTACAAATACACAACTAATACTGATGATATTTTTTTTAAAAATCTACTTTTAAAATTCATACACTATATTTTCAAATTAAATGTATTTTGTCATGTACTGGGAAATTTCATCCAACAACAGTCCTACAAATGCGATATGGAGGCATAAATTCAAAAAATACACATACTGCCAAGATGTCACTTTTCCCAACATACTTCTCTGATCTTAACCATATGCTGAAAGGGGAAGATTTTTCAGAGTGATATGCAAGTGGGGACTTGGCGTAGAAAAGTTTTGCAAGATATTATGAATTCAAATGAAGATCTATGTTTGAATATGCATAAGGACTTTTATGTAGAGGGAGTATCACTGATATATTGAGTGGTGATTATGAGAGTAATGTTTTGGCGTTGATTTTTGTTTTTTCTTTCTGTGGGCATAGATTGTTTTTATTTATGTACATAGATACCTACAGCTTTTATCTTCTTTTTTTTTTTTTACACAATGTTATGGCCAAATGCCAATTAAAAGAAATAATGTGAAATGTTTAGATGTTCAAACAATTTCTGTTGAAAATGAATTTAATAACATTTTATATTTTATTTTCTTCCTGATTTACTGTTCACTTATCATTTTTCAGAACAATTTTTGAAAATACATTTCTTTACTTAAGTCTTATTTAATTTTCTGCTTTTTCTTGTAGGTTTCATTGATATTCACAATAATGTTACATAAATACCAAATTGTAAATTTCAGTAAGATAGATGATCAAAGACAGGCAATGTTATCAGGGATTTGTAGGCCATGCAAATTCATGGCTTCCAGTAAGAATTCAATGAGATTGCATGGTAGATCAAGCTTCAATTTGGCACACAATATATGGTATCATCTTATCTATCTAGATATTTATAGTGAACAGAACAGTTAAACTTAAGTGCTTAACTCATCACAGAGTAATAGACATCTGATATCTATTCTTGAAAATACTGCGAGAAAAAAGAGTACAGCAACTTTCTAAGTTTAAACAATGATCTTTAATATAGTCAACAGAAAGCTGAGATGAATTGCAGTAATTCTCTACACCTTGATCTCAGCCACACAAGCTCTGTGAAATTCTTGGTACACTCTTCACATTGTAGTTCAGGTACAATCCCAGACATACTGTTGTCTGCTCTTTCAAATTTTAGACATTTTTATTTCAGACAAATTATCTGAGCAATTTAAAGTAATCGGCAACCTAACACTTCTTTTTAAGCATTTTACAGTCCTTTTAATTATTACTCTTAAATATACACATT